ACATGGAGGAGTTTACAGAATTTACACTGGATGTTTATGAGTCTAAACTTTCTAACCCTTTTACAGACATTCACATGAAACAAAAAAAAATTTTTTTTTTGTTTGTTTCCAAATATTTTATGTATTGGGCCACTTTTAAAAACTATTGTGTATTGTATAAACTCAAACTTTTGTAAAAAATATGAGCATTATTGAAAATTTGGCAACTATCCTTCTATGTGGAGCTCCACCCCTTTTTGCGTTCCATAAAAGGCGGGTATCACCATGGAAACCTGTGACTCAGTGTGTTAGTGGCTCTTCTATTACTCATTCATTCATTCAGCCTTTATTTAGACAGGTTAATCCCATTGAGCCTCGGGGACTCATTTACAAGAGAGACCTGATTTTAACAAACAGTGATGACAACAGTGGACAAGAAAGACAACAATAGACAATCATGAAGGATATGTACAAATTGAGTATAACAAGTGAACATAAAATGGTATTAAAAATGTAACAAAAAAGCAGCTAGGTTGTAAGGCGATGTAGAAAGCTAAAAACAGGAACATGTCTGCATTGGTTTTTCCCATGAATTTTGCAGATGTTTGAAGCCAAGAGAGGTCAAGGTTGAGAACTTCAGATCTTTTTGTAAGATATTCCAGGAAACAGGAGCGGAGTAGGAGAAGACCCTTTTGACTAGTTCAGTCCTCACAGAGGGAACACTGCAGGTAATAATGTCCTGAGAGCGCACGCTGTAGCTGCACTCACGCAGAGACATAGGAGGAGATGTATGAAGGCAGCAGACCAAGAAGTGATTTAAAGATGAAAATGTACCAGTGGGAGAGTCTGCGTGAAGTCATTCAGCAGCTTCTTTGTTCTGTTGTTCCATCGTGGCCTCCTCCAGAGATCCGACCATCCTGGTCAGAACTTAAACGTTCAGGAGATAAAACTTCCTCAGAATTTATGATTTAAAGTCTTAAAAGAAAAACTAAAGTACAATCAAGAAGTGGTTTAAACCTGGAGTTTCATAATAAAACTTTTCAAAAACAAAAGCCTGGCTCTGTTACTGTTTTTTTTATTAATTTTTATTTACTTTATTTTACCAGGAAGAAATCCATTGAGATCAGCAATCGCTTTTACAAGGATGCTCTGGATCAGGACCATTCAACTGGTGGCCCGGGGCCAAATCAGTCTCACTGATGAACTCAGTTCGGCCCACCAATGGGTTCATTTTTAAAGAAAACTAGATTTTAAACCATAAAACAAACTTAAAGACAATAACTGCTGAATGTCCGGCCCCTGAGCTCTTGGCTTTAACTGTGGCCCCTGAGCAATTTTGTTGACTCAGCCTTGGTTTAGATTATTACAGGAGGACTCCCTGACTTCCTGCTGGGCCTCGCACCCTTTAACAGTTCAGTTTGGAGTTTCATTTTATCCACTACTTGTTTTTTGTTGAAAGCTTCCTGACACATATGATAACTTTATTTCCTGTTTTTAGTTTTTGCATTAACTGCTGAAGGTTAACGTCTGAACTTAAAGGAACCATATATCCTGTTTCTACCTGCAGCATGAATCGGTTAAACAGACTGGGTGTAACGACCGTCTGAGCGCCACACAAAGCTCTGTCTGTGGTTTTAAACTGGACAGACTCAAGCAGGTGATTGATGTTCACTCAGGAACTCATTACTCCTCTCAGACATGGTTACAGATTGACGGAGCGGCTGCTGTGTCTTCGCACTAATTGGTTTTAGCTAATGTGTCAGGTAGAAGTGTGTGGATGCTGCTGACCTCTGACCTCTGGATTGAGTGATCAGTGAAGGAGAAAACCTGCAGCGGGGAGATGAAACTGAAGGGAATTCCTACTGCTGACATGAGTTAATGTGCATTCAGAGAGCAAGGGAGGCGAGTGGACACACTGGTGATCAAACCATTGTCTGGTTCCTTCAGAAAGGCCGAAATAAGATATTGTCTGGAAGAGATAAGCCTCCGCATGCCATGTACCACTGTCCGGTTGAGATGGTGGTCAACAAATCCTACCTGTGGCTAAAGAGGGCTGGACTGAGGCAATAATCATCATGGCAGCACAAGAGTAGTAGAGGCCAAGGTCTACCATAACAGACCAGATCCAAGATGCAGGCTGTGCAAAGAAGTCCCTGAGACAGTCCAACACATTCATTCAACCTTTATTTATACAGGTTCATCCCATTGAGCCTTGAGAACTCATTTACAAGAGAGACCTGATTTTAACAAAGAGTGATGACAACAGTGGACAACAAAGACAATAATAGACAATCATAAAGGATGCATACAAATTGAGATTTTTTTTAAATTAACAAGTGAAAAATAAAATGGCATTTAAAATGTAACAAAACAAGAAAAAAAGCTAGGTTGTAAGGCGATGTAGAAAAGTAAAAACAGGAACATGTCTGCATTGGTTTTTCCCAAGAACTTAACAGATGTTTGAAGCCACTTAGAAAGGTCAAGGTCGAGAGCTTCAGAACTTTTTTCAAGATATTCCAGGAAACAGGAGCGGAGTAGGAGAAGACCTTTTTGCCTAGTTCAGTCCTCACTGAGGGAACACTGCAGGTAATAATGTCCTAAGAGCGCACGCTGTAGCTGCACTTACGCAGTGACCGGGCAGGCACTTTCCATAGCTGCACACTGTTCCACCTGGTGGTGGATGGGTTAAAAGCAGAGAGACAATTTCGCTATTGTATGGGAACATACAATGATGTCAATTATTCGAGGATAAAATCAGAGGAAGAACTGCTGGGACTGACTTCCTGTTTGAAAACAGCATCCCTTTGGTTTTGTTGGCGTTTAGGACAAGTTTGAAACGGAACAAATCTGACTGGGTGATGTTGAAAGTGGATTGTAAAAGCTGGAAAACCTTAGCAACTGTTTTAGCTTGACAATAAACAATCATCAGCATAGAAATGTAAGAATGCATCAGGGATGCTCTGATCTACATTACCTATATAGATTGTAAAGAGGGTGGGTCCTAAGACTTAGCCTTGTGGTACACCATTATTGACTGTTAAATAACTGGAGGAAGTACCATTATGTTGAACACGTTGCCTCCGATCTGAAAGATATTTAGAGAACCAACCAATGGTGTGTTCTGACAAACCAATTTCATTAAAACCAGATGTTAGCTCCAGTAATCCAAAGCATACATGGAGCACTATAACCAAGTGGCTGGAATAATATACAGGGATGTCTGCTGATTATGGACTGGAGGTCCTGGAATCAAAGTGGGAGACTCCACCAAGTGGGGTGGAGAATGGGAGGGCTAAGATACTGTGGGACTTTCAGATCCAGAACAACAAACAGGTGATGTTAACCAACCCAACGTTGTGGTGGTCAACAAGCTACAAACACTCCCAGGCATCTGGTAGAGGACCTGAGCCTGAAGTGAAGTGTGTATATATACATATAGTCTTATTCATTAGCATCCAAAGATCCAATGTGATGTCTCACATAGAGTCCACATCTGTTGAGTATTTTGAGTGTGTCTTCCTTGTAAAATTTAAAGGATGTTTGTTGATGTAAACAACGTCTGAGTCAAGTTTTAGATATAACAGATGTGCTCTCTGAAGCCTCCCAGATGTACAGTGCATCCCTGTAAATCATTCTGTCCCAGTTTAATGTTCATTGAGTCTGAGTGGCGTTCAATGTGATGATGAGTAACTACACTCTAACGGACACGCAACAACTAACCCGCTCAGTGTCGTCACACACATTATCGCTTTGAGGCAGGTTTCTACCAACATCCATCCATCCATCCATCACTCCTGGAGCCCTGACCCCAGGTCAGACTAGATAGCCATTAAGTCCTGGACTCCTGCTCTGACATCTTCAGAAATCAGACAGAATCCAGCAGCTGCTGTGCACTAGTGGAAGTACACCCTGGACAGGTCTCCAGTCCATCACAGGGACAAATAGAGACAAACAAAACAAAACAAAAAAACATTCACTCTCGTTCACATCTAGGTACAATTAGAATTACCAATCAGCCTAACATGCATGTTTCTGATCTGTGGGAGGAAACCGGAGAACCTGGAGAAAACCCACACATGCACAGAGAGAACATGCAAACTCCACCCAGAGCGCATCCTCCGGGCCAGGATACAATCTGGTGACCTTCTTGCTGAGATGCAACAGCTCTAACTGAGCCACCGTGCCACATTTAAAAATGACCTCTTTTTTTTTCATATACCCTTTATTTATACAGGTCGTCTCATTGAGCCACGAGAACTCATTCTTTCAAGAGACCTGTTTGGGAGCAGATGGTGGGGGTTAAGGGCCTTGTTCAGGGGCCCAGGGTGGAGCAAATGAGGGTGGAGGGAGGTGTGGGTGTTCCACCTTTTCCACCCACATTTTGATGTTGACAGTACCGGGAGTTGAACCTGTGACTTCCGTTCACAGGCCCATCTTCTAACCTCTGCACCACCCAAGTGAATGAATTGTTGAATAAACCTGACCCAACATTATCAGACATTTACCTGTTTTAGTCCAATGACTCAGCACCAGACTGAGGTCCAAACAGAGCTAAATAAATAAAATAAAAAACGTGTTGATGCTTTGAAACCATGAGATGATTAAATATAAAATCCATCAATCCATTATCTTTACCCACTTCTTCCTTATAAAATGTTTGGTTTTGTGAAAAAGTTTCACATTTTATTCTCGGACAGTTGAACAATATTTGAGTCCAAATATTTTTTGTACCGTTTTCAGTCACGGACCCTTCCTGGTGAACGTCGGACCGGAAGTGGTTTTGCCGTGGTTTCCATGGTGACCGCGGATTTCTTTATTGTATTTTTTTTTTTTTGTAACTTGAACCGCTGATTGTCACAGTTCAGAATCTGGGTCAGAACCGTGTCTCCAAAACGAGCCAGAAGCCTCGGTTTCTGCTCTGTCCATGGATCGATCAGCTGATCGATCAGCTGATTGACGGGTTCCCTCGTGGTGACGTGACACGGCTCTTTATGTTTGACGGCTGGCGCGCGGCCGTGACGCTGTGGGACTTCCGGTGTGCTTGTGTCTCCAGGTGAGGTGAACTCTGGTGCTCCAATGTTTGTCGAACAGAACAGCAGATTATGGATTATTGATTGAAGACAGCTTATGTTCCGTGTTAGATAATCTAAGTAGACTGGACTTTATCATAAACCATATTTCTCACCATGTTGGAGTAAAAAGTCTAGTGGGTAATGTTTTCAATATTTAATTTGTCTATAAACGCATGTAGTGCAGACGTGCAATAAAACTTCTGTAAACCTCAACAACTGATTGGCCTCAAACTTGGTGAGACGTTTTATATGTGTGGAATCAAAGTAAGAAAATCTAGATGAAATGTTGCATTCTTGTACGTTATTCGTCTTTAAACAGGCGCCATACGCAACAGCACAAATCCAGCCCAGCAGTAAAGGTTGTTGTAACGGAGCACTCTGGATTGAGAGTAAGGTTTCTGAATCCAGTGCCTGCGCTCTTATTTTCTCCAGCATAGATCTCAAGCAGCTGTTTAGCATGACGATCACAGTAGCCCTTTGGTTTTGCCCGTCTTTCTTTCAGCCGTTTGTGCACGTTGAGTGTCCTTTCAGGAGTGGGTGGTGAAGTGGGGGTACTTTTCATTCATTCAACCTTTATTTAGACAGGTTAATCCCATTGAGCCTCGAGGACTCCTGTACAAGAGAGACCTGATAGACTAAACAGCTAGATTATAAGGCAAATGTAAAAAACCAACAACAGGAACACGTCTGCATTGGTTCTTGCCAGGAGTCCAACAGATTCTTAGTCACTTAGAGAGGTCAAGGTCGAGAGCTTCAGATCTTTTTGCAAGATATTCCAGAAAACGGGAGCGGAGTAGAAGACCCTTTTGTCTAGTTCAGTCCTTGCAGAGGGAACACTGCAGGTAATGATGTCCTGAGAGCGCACGCCGTAGCTGCACTCACGCAGAGACATGTAGGAGGAGATGTATGAAGGCAGCAGACCAAGGAGTGATTTAAAGATGAAAATGTACCAGTGGGAGAGTCTGCGTGAAGTTAATGATGTCCGGTTAACCAGTGAATACAGGTATACCAGTAGTTTTGTCTTTAAACGACGTCCCAGTCCCACACCCTCCAGTGGTGTATTTCTATACTCCAGAAGTTCTATGTACGGGTCACTCGCATCATTTTGAGTTTTTCAAAGCAGCCTTTTAAAAGTTTGCACTGCACTTGCTGCCTGTCCACTGGACTGTGCAGATCTAGGGCTGCACAAACTCCCAGCTCTGCAAATCTCCTAAATTCCTCATTAGGATATTGAGGACCATCGTCAGAAATAACAATGTCTGGGATTTTGTGTCTGGCGAAAATGGGCTTCATGGCAGTTATCACATCCTTGCTGGTTGTGTCACTTAGTCTTATAATCTCAAGATTTTTGTGGACGTAGTCGACACACATGAGAAATTCTGAACCATTGCTGTAAAACAGGTCAGTGCTGACCCTCTCCCATGGTCTTGATGGTAAAGGATGTGAGATTAATGGTTCTTTTGGATTACTGATTCTATTCTTGTTGCATACATCACACTGTGCCACTACCAGTTCAATCTGTGGACATGCCTGACCAATGTAGGACACCTCTTGTCCTTTCTTTGCATTTGATCACCCCTAAGTGCGACTCGTGTATCTTGTCCAGAACTTTTGGTCTCAGTTGTGGTACAATGAGGTTTTCTGCCTTGAACAGCAGTCCAGAGGCAAAGCTGACTTCCTCTCTGAATGTCCAAAAGGGATGTATGCAGGTTGACACACCTGTCTCTTGGCCATCCATTCAGATACATATTTCAGCTCTTGTAGCACCGGGTCTAGTGACGTCGCATCTCTGAACATTTTCTGTTTTTCCTCTGAAATAGGTAACTGGTGTTCTTCCTCCAGGAGATCCTCTTTGTGCTCATGCAGGTAAGCACTGCTCAATGCATCCTCTATGTGAGGTTCTTTCCCTGGCTTGTAAGTGACACAACATTCTTTGTAGCCCCGACGGAGCTTGATGCAGCTTCTTGGAGATGCTTTCCAATGGTTTGTGTTCACTTTCAACTTGGTTGTCTGCCATAAACATACAGGTGGAATTTTTCACATCCATACACAATGGCCAGCAGCTCTTTTTCTATCCCTGCATATTTCGCTCACATTCTGTTTGCTTTAGATGCTCTAGATCCATATGTCGCAGAGTGTCCATATTGCAATATCACAGTCCTCAGAACCAGCTTTTGCTTTGCTTCTATGGCTCCTCTCAATGCCATTCTGTTTCTCCCTGTAGCAGTTCCCTTAGCGGTGCAAAAACCTCAGACAGGTTTGTAATGAATTTACAGATATTGCACCATTTCCATTAACTGCATTAAAGCTCGTCTGTCTTCAGGTGGCGACATTTGTACAATGACTCAAATCTTCTCATCATCAAGCCATAGTCCACCTGTACTTAACGTATGGCCTTTGTACTTCACCTCTGTCATTCTGAGTTTGCAGTTTTCACCTGCTCTTTTTCATTCATTCAACCTTTATTTAAACAGATAAGTCACATTGAGCCTAAAAGACTCATTTACAAGTGAGACCTGTTTGGACAGACAATAAAAGTGATAAACTGGACACGTAGGAATTGGAGGCGAAAAAATTCCTATCAGACTTTTTTTTCAGCCTGAGAAGAAAAAACTCTGATATTAAAAAAACACCCCACACAAACAAGCACATACGTAGACATTCTGCAGAGGGGGGGAGACGAGAGCGATGAGATGATCATGGACGCTCTCAAGGGCCCTGTAAGAGTTCTGATAAAGATGTAATAATCAGTCAATGTCCTCCGGTGAGATCCATAAACAGTCTCGAGGTATGTCGAGGAATGGCCAAGAATAATGACGATGAGAATCAAAGAGTCCTGAAATGATGACACAAGTTTATTCAGCTGGTTTCATCTGATTATCAGTTGGAAATTCCTCAGGGAGGGGGTGATGAGCATCAGATCACATGTTCTCCAGGCGAATTCAGATAAGATGGCCTTCAAGGCCAGCCAAGGGAGCCAAATTCAGATAAACACAGTTGTTTTGGGGACAGGCAGAACTTAATGACATCTACCTTGAGTCTGTGTTGGTCCACTTGGTTCCGAAATGACCAAATTACATGGCCACACCGATGGAACGTGACTGAGTAAATTCCACGAGATCTGATCCATTCTGCCCAAAGCATTTGAGTCTGGGTACTCAAGGCACAAACCAAGCCATCATAAAGGCAAGCAGCATGATCGGGTCCAAATTTGCTGCCGACGACTTCCTTGATTGTAGATAAAACCAGCAACCAGCCGATTCCAAAAAGTAGGAACCAGTTATCGTAAATCCAATTAAATATGCGTCCTTAAAATCCACAGATGGCAGCAGAGATAGACACATCAAGTCGATGAGATATCCAGCTGCGTGTGTGCCAACAGGAGCACCTGCTCTTTGTAGCAGCTTTAGTCTCTGATCATGTTGCTCAAGTGAGTCGCCCCAAACCACTAGATCATCTAGGATGTTGACCACACCATCCAACCCCTGAATCATCTGGGCCACAGCTCTCTGAAACACTTCACTGGCAGGTGAGATGCCAGAGGGAAGGTGTTGATACCTGCCAGTAGGTGTAACTAGGAAGATCCTGGAGAAACTTTGACGGGGACTGCCACACTGTGGCCATTTAATTTTTTTTTTTTTTTGACAGTACTATGTGTTGGGGTTCACTCTCAGCTACCATCACTCCAAATTTCAGCTCAGTTTGGTTAAAAAAAATTATTCAGGTAAAATCATTTTTTTCTTTTAAGCTATGGTGGCCATCTTGGATTTTTTTTAAATTTGGATCTGGGGAACGTTCTCAGCTATAACCAAATTTCAGCTCTATGTGTAAAATAGCTGCGTTAAAGCCATTGAAAATTTGCTTTTGGGGCCATCATTGTTTTGTTTGAATTCAGTATTTATCGGACATTGCTCTCAGTTACCACCGCGCCAAATTTCATCTCAATATCTCTAAAAATGGCTGTTTCATAGTATTATTTGTTTTTTGCTCAGGCAGCCCTCTTGGATTTTTGATTTGCAACCAGAACTTTTAGGGATGGTTCTTGGCTCCCAGTACACCAAATTTCAGCTGACTAGCTCTAAAAACAGACGAGTTCTAGCCATTTGAAATTAGCTTTGGTGGCCATCTTGAATTTTTAGATTTGAATTCAGAATGTGTTGTGCATCACTGTCGGGTACCACTACACCAAAATTAAGCTCTGTCTTTTAAAATAGCTGTTATTGAAATTTTCCCTTTTTTGCTAAGGCAGCCATCTTGGATTTTTGATTTGCATCTTGTATAACAACTTGCTCTCAGCTGCTCTCATACCAAATTTCAGCTCAATATGTAAGAATGATTGAGTTATAGCCAATTTTGTGTTTTATATGAGGTAGCTGTGGCAGCCATCTTGTTGGTTTTTCTTCTTGTTGTGCTCCAGCTGCTCTACAGTATCTGAAATTTCAGGAAGACTTTGTTCTAAAGAACTATTGCTTTAAAATAACAACAAACTAAATAAGAAACCCAACTTGTTCTGATGTGGATCAGCAGTAGAATGATCTTGATGAGTGGAGCAGAACCTTCTGATGGACTTTTGTCCTGCTGGATCTGCTTAGAGAACCTTCAGAAAAAAAAAAACCCCATCAAAACCTGAACCCGGACCTGAGTGAGTCCACTGTATGACAGTACCATTTCCCGGGTCTCATCCCTTGTTTCCTCCTGGACATCGTCCTTTGGCTCCTCCTGTCCTGCAGGTGTGTTCGGTGATGGTGGACTCTCGGCCCATGTTGGAGGAGCTGCTGGCTCTGGTTCTGCAGCGGATCAACATGGAGGAGAGCAACATGGCACTTGAGCGAGGTGAGCTGATCATGTGATCGTGCATGTGTGGACTCGGACCTCATGATCCTCATGTCTTTGTTTGTCTCTGCAGAGTTCTTGGAGGTGGTGAAGAACTTTGAGGTGGTGAGGAAGAGTTGGCTGCGCACCGAAATGGAGCTGAAGAACTACAAAGAGCTGCTGGTCAAGTCTGACGTGGCCAAAGCTGCTCTGGAGATCAAACTGAAGCACGCTCGCAACCAGCTGGACGTGGAGATGAAGAAACGCCATAAGATCGAGGTCGACTACCAGTACCTGGTGAGGTTCAGCTCGTACCTGCAAAGCTCTGAGCCCACGTTCAACATGCACTGTGTAGAGTTCCCTCACTTGTTTCTGAATGAATACCTGCGGTGACCTGCGGTGACATGCAGGGGGCGCTGACAGCTCTGTGTGTTCCGACTGCAGACGAGGCAGATGCAGCTCATGTGCGACATCCTGGTCCAGGACAGTAAATCCAGTGCCTGTCTGAACGATGAGCAGAAATCTCTTTTAGCCACGTTCGATCACAGAGGAGCCAACATGACGCTGCACAAGAGCAGCAAGAGGTAAGCTGACCAATCACAGCGCACGGTCAGAACAACAGATCACAGCCCAAGGTTCTGAAAGTTCTTGTTGCTTATAAAATTCTCTAAAGAGGAGTTTTTAGTTAAGTAGCTGACAGAATCTCTGCTGGTGAACAGAATGAATAAAACTTAGTCTCGTCCAGTCAGAAGAGCTTCAGGAGAACGGCCTCCTCCATCGATCAGCACTGAATGATCCGGTTGTTTTCTTGCAGGCTGTCGGTTATTGATGAGTCATCCTTCATGTCTCACTCAGACATCAGCTACGATCGCACCGATGACGACCTGGTACGAATGTCACGTGTGTTCCGACAGTGCCACAGGATCAGCTGACTCCCTAACAGGATGTTTGTCTTCATGTTTCAGGACTTGGACACGACTATGATCAAACCTCTGAGGTCTCGGGCCAGAGAGAGGAGGGTTGGTTCTGTTTGTTTTAGATCCAGATGGTGCAGCGTTTGACCTTGTTATGTAGAACCAGTTACCAGAGCTGTTTCTGACCCTCATCTTGACTCAGCTGTGCGGGGAACTAACGCTCATTAACAGAAAGTGTTCTCGATTCCCCCCAATAACCTTGTCTCGTTGCGCTGTTCATCCGCCTGTCCTTGTATTGCTCTCGTCTCCTCTCCTCCATGTCCTTGCATTTTGTCATGGAGTTGCTCTGGTTGTGTCGCTCTTCTAGCGTTGGGATTTATTTCTTGTCTTCCTGTCGGCTTTGTGCAGCGCTCTTCGATGGGTCAAGTGTTCGGAGTTCAGGTTGCGAAGAGAACCAGAGGCGGGGATGTTCCGGCAGAGCCACTGGAGAGAAAAACTGTAGCGAAGGTACCCAGAACAGAACATTGTCAGGTTATGTTTTTGGATCCACTTAACTCTGAAGAACTCCCAGCGTGTCAGCAGAAGGATGGTCCTGTGTAGACCTTAAATGGGCCTTCAACAGGAAACTGCTTGTTCTGGCAGGAAGTTGACCTCAAATCTGCTAAAAGCTCTGGAAGAGTGACCCTCTGTGATGTCTGTGTAAAACTTGAACCTTTGTTGGACTCAGGAGGTGGAGACGATTGTGAAAGCATCTGTGATGGCTCCTGATGCTGGCGGACAGGTCCACATGGTTCTGGGAGTCATACAGGAGAGTCCAGATAATCCTGCTCTATCCACCACCCAGCAATGTGCCGTGTCAGTGGGAGGAGGAGGTGAGTGGTTCTGAAGTTACACGGTCAGAATCTGAGTTGTTCCAAAGGTTGAAACCATCAGAGCCTGGGCAACAGACCTCAAGTGGAGTTCCTGGCAACAGAAAACGAAGTTCTGCTGAATGTTAACAAGTTTAATGTTTCTGTTTTAATAAGTTCTGACAGAACGTAACAGAACTGAGGTCACTGTTTGTACCAGAACCTTTCATCAGGTCACAGATGAACAGTGAATAAATCCAGGGTATAGGGTAATTAACGTAGGGGATCACTGATGGAGCATTGCTTCAGATTGGCCCCTGAAAATTTTCAGCTCACGTTTTCATTTCTGTCTGTCCTTTAGATCAAACAACCTCATGGAGTCCCAACACCTCGACCTGGGTTGAGCCTGAAGCTTTGCCAGACATCCGAAATGCTTCAATCATCAGGACAGAGAAAACCAAACACATGTTTCTATCTAAAACGGTACAAAAGTCTGTCCACCTGTCCGTCCGTCGAACCGATGTAGGACGGTATCTGAGCTCAGAGTAACCTGCAGACTCCTTCCAGGTGATCCGGCCCGAGACCTGCACGCTGTGCGGGAAGAGGATTCGTTTTGGGAAAGTGGTGGTGAAGTGCAGGAACTGTCGCGTTGTTGCTCATCTGGAGTGCAAACAGAAGCTGTCGGACTTCTGCTCGTCCTCCAGCGCTGCAACAAGAAGTCAGACTCAGGTGGTACCTCGGCCTGTTCGTCCGTTCCTGCAGAACTTGTTTCAGTTCTCTAAATCAGAGGTCCCCATCCCTGGTCTTCGTGGCCTACTGTCCTGCAAGTTTTAGCTCTTTCATTCAACCTTTATTTACCTTGAAATTTGGTGTGATGATGGCTGAGAGCAATGCCCAATAAATACTGAATTAAAAAAAAAAAATCCAAGATGGCCACCAAAGCTAAATTTAAATGGCATACAAATGGAATACAATAACTTTTCTATTTTTAAAGATGTTGAACTTAAATTTGGTGTGGTGGTATCTAAGTGATGCACAACACATTCTGAATTCAAGTCTAAAAATTCAAAATGGCCACCAAAGCTAATTTAAATGGTTACAACTCTACGGTTTTTAGAGCTCTTCAGCTGAAATTTGGTGCACTGGTAGCTCAGAACAATCACTAATAGACTGACTGCAAATCAAAAATCCAAGATGGCCACCTGAGTTAAAAAGGAAACCTACTATAAATTAGCCATTTTCAGAGATATTAAGCTGAAATTTGGTGTGATGATGGCTGAGAGCAATGCCCAATAAATACTGAATAAATAAATAAAAAATCCAAGATGGCCACCAAAGCTAAATTTAAATGGCTTTGACTCTGATATTTTTTTTACACATATAGAGCTGAAATTTGGTGAGGTTATAGCTGAGAACGTTCCCAATCATACTGAATCCTAATCAAAAATCAATGGCCACCATAGCTTAAAAGAAAATCTGACTTGAACTCATTGATATATATTTTTTTAAATTGTCATATTGAGCTGAAATTTGTTGTGATAGTAGCTGAGAGAGAACCCAAACACACGGTACTGTCAAATCAAAATGTTAAAATGGTCACAATGTGTCCATCCCCGTCAAAGTTTCTGCAGGAACTTTCTATTTCTTGTCCTGCTCTGCAGAAGCTGAGCCGGCGTGACCGCAGACTGCTCTGTTTGACTGAAGGTTGTCTTCTCTTCAGGACTTGTTGGAAGCTTTTGCTCCGTCGACTCATCCCAGAGTTCCTCAGCTGGTTGTGGACTGCGTGGCTGAGATCGAGAGGAGGGGTCTGCACGAGGTGAGTCCACCTGAGATGGACTGCTGAGTCTGAAACCATCAGTCTGATCTGTACTGAAAATGGCTTTATGCCAAACAAGTTCAGGCTTCAAGAATTAAACGCAAGACCTGAACGTGGATGGAGAATAGAAGTTCCTTCCTGGTGGTCCAGCTGTGGTGGGTTTGGATTATCATCGGGACTTTAGAGTAGAAGGTTAAAGTTTGGTTTATGAGACCTGAGCCAGCCAGACTAGGAGGAGGTTCTGGAGTCGGGTTAAAGGGAGCTGCTCAGATCATCCAGACTTCTGCTGAATGTTTGGATGGTCTGAGCTGGACCAGCTGCCTCTGAAGGTTGGGGGCCGAGATGGTGTAGAGGCAGGGCAGCCGGCTTGGGACCCGAAAGTCCCAGGTTCGATCCCCAGTCACTGCACATCACGTGGCGTCTCTGGGCAGCACGTCTCATCCCCAAAATGCCCCCCGGGCGCTTTCAATAGCTGCCCACTGCACCACCTGGTGGTGGATGGGTTAAATGCAGAGACTAATTTCGCCATTGTATGGAAACATACAGTGCTGACATTGTGACATTATTATTATTATTATTATTGGACCTGCTTCCTGTCAGAGGACAACCGTCTCATGTTTGTCTCCACTGTCTGCAGAAAGGTCTGTATCGTATTCCTGGAGGGGAGCGCACGGTGAAGGAGCTCCGCGATCGTGTCCTTCAGGTGAAGCCGTCTCTGCTGCTCAGTAAAGTCCAGGACATCCACGTGGTCTGTGGACTCCTGAAGGACTTCCTGAGAAGACTGAAGGAACCTCTGGTCACCTTCAGGCTGCACAGGACCTTCATGGAGGCTTCAGGTACCAACGAGAAGCAGAACTGCAGCCCAGTTTGGTCCCACAGCTGCTGAAGACCATGTCTTTGTGTTCCAGAACTAGATGAGGACAACAGAACCGCACTCCTGTATCGGGTCATATCTGAGCTGCCAAAGTCCAACAGAGACACGCTGGCGTTCCTCATGCTTCACCTCCACAAGTAAGAACTGGTCCGAGGTCTGCTGACGGAACCAGAACCTCAGATTTACTGAACCAAACCTTTCTCTGGGATCATCAGGGTGATGAGAAGCCCACAGTGCCAAATGGACCAGAACAACTTGGCCCGGGTGTTTGGACCAACGATAGTGGGTCATGGGATGTCAGAGCCGACCCCAACAACCATCATGAGGGACACCACCGTCCAGCCGAAGGTCCGTTTAGATGCAACTGTCAGTGTGTCGTACTGACCTAGTCCTGGTATCCTTGTGACCCAGATTAGAACCCAGGTGTGTGATCTTGTCCTCAGGTGATGAGCTACCTGCTGTCCCTCCCCGAAGACCACTGGAGACAGATCCTTACTGCCCAGGTGGATCAGAACCCATCCTACTATAATAAGTCAAGCCCTGTTGAAGGACATGGTGAGTTCAACTCTGGTCCAAAAGTTTGGTTCCGATTCCAAGAACAGCCTTCCTGGAAAACCCAGCTTTGGACTGATGATTCCCAGGTTGGTTCTGGGTCTGATGGTTCTGTCTGTGTTCCTTCCAGGTCGTTTGTTTCTGCCGGTAACGTCCCCAGAGACGAAAAGCTCCTCTTACAAGATGTCCAGCCGAGAGTCGATGAGAGGACGGCTGGTGGACCAGGTGTCCACATCCAGCAGAATGTAAGACCACTAGAGACCAGGTCCAACTGAGTTAAAGTACTGTGAGGGAACTGTGGTTCTGTAGTAGACCCAGGATCCAAAGCTGGTTTTACATTGATGGTTTGAGGTTTATTGTGACCCTGAAACTTTGTTTTAACAAATGTTCTTAGAGACCAACCTGAGAAGAGGAACAAGTTCTTCACATCACCAAGCTGAACCATACAGACCTCAGCTGGTCTCCACCTGGTCCTGTTGGTCCTCACCTGGTTCTCTCAGTCCTCACCTGGTCTCCATCTGGTCCCGATAGTCCTCACCTGGTCCTGTTGGTCATCAGCCGACTCCCACCTGGTCCTGCTGGTCCTGCTGGTCCTCACCTGGTCCTGTTGGTCATCACCCGGCTCGCACCTGGTCCTGCTGGTCCTCACCTGGCCCCCACCTGGT